GTAAAGGATTCCCTCCAACAACTTCATCATTAAGATATAAACCTACTCTGCTAAACCAAACCACTGCCTCTCCAAAGTATTGTAAAAACCACCTAATCAAAGTAATACACTTTCAAAAAGGTACCGGGAATTGGCTGCTGTGCATTAGTAAACGATATAAAAATTGAAAAGAGAACGACGAAAGCAAGTTCAACAGGCATTTCAGGCACCAAACTGCAGGCAACAAAAAAAGCAAAATAAACAAGATCGAATTAAGAAAAAAAATGAGATCACACAACCCCGCCGCGTCAAATTATTTTCATTTAAAAAACTTTCGATTTCACTGAATGTTACAAAACCAGCATAATTGATATAACGTGTTGCACTACCATACAAGAAAGAAGTACTGAAACCCCTAAGTCTTACTTTGAAGCTTTTTTGAAAAACTAAGTCACTATTCTGCCACTTTGTCACAACCGAACATTGAGAATTTACAAATACAAAGATGCAGTAAAAACAATATCGCGTTTTAATTTAGATCGAGCTTCTTCAAACTTAGCTTCGACATCCCTGTTGCCCATCGCTTTAGCAGCATTGATCATTTCTCTCAATAATTCTTCCAAACGGCGCATACAACGTATAACAGAGCCTGAAAAATATTCAAAAGATATGAAACCAGTTTCAAACAATTAAGAAAAACTTTGACTCCTTCTTCTTTCAATCTCCAAATCTTTGGTCCTGTAGGAATGACCATAAAATGCTCCTGTCTTCAGCCTAAAAGAACAGTAAGGCAAAAAGAGCAATGAAGGCTACATAAAAAATTGTGCTCCAAAATAGACAAACGAAGAGACAAGATCATAAGCAAAAGTCCGGAACGAGAGATCAAGGCGTTATTACAAAAAGTGAACCGGTTTTGATAATACACGCGAGCAAAACCGAACATATTGCACAAGTGAAAGGAAAATGCGGCATGGTAGGAGAAAATGAAATAAATGAAGGAGTAAAAACCACACATCTGTAGGAAGAAAGTCCCTCTTGTTTAAATAAACTACGCACGACAATATCGCACTTAACCTACCGAAAATAAAAATTTACGCCCAATGAGATAACAATATGTAGAACATAACTCTCGTTTTAAAAACTACCTTCAAACACTTCAGTCTTTTCTAGTACTTGAGCAAAGGTAGCGCCAGAACACCAGTCAAAAACAACATCCATCATAGTAGGTTTAAAAGATTCAACATATTTCTCTTCATCAATATCCAACTTTGATTCCTTGGTAAGCTTTGCAATACGTTTTGCAAATTCCTAAATAAATTGTTAAATCAGACATAAAAAATAAGTTCATTGTACAAAGAGGTCAAATCCTACAGGACCACAATTTTTATGAACCATTTTTTCATTTATTAGACGTTTGCATTATATTATTCTATATCAGATTTATCAAGTTAAGTGGAAGTAATAAAAACAGTTGTTGGGGACTACACCGTTCAAAAATATGTCTGCAGAACCCTTAATGACGCTGAAAATAATTCAAACAAATCTTGCTCGTGGTCTTTCCAGATATTCCTCACATTAAACCTTATAAGTGAAAAGTCAAAAAGAAAAACAAACTCTGAAAGCGTCAACTGCTCACTGAAAAATCACAATTCTACAAAAACCAATGTGAGTAAATAAAAAAGAATTTAAAGAAGAGATCTTACAGATACCTGCATTTTACGAAGACAACCACTTAGTTCATCAGCTAACTTGCCAACTGGAACTTTTTCTTCAAAAACAAAACAGGAAAGAAGAGCCGCCATATGTTGGGGGGAAAGTTCAGTAAAAATACCACTAAATAACATCTCCGTTAGCATTAGTTCATCGGCAGAACTTATTTCACAAGCTACACGACCCTGAAAAGTCAAGGAATTTACCACCATGCAAGGTAAAAACTTCCAAGAAACAAAAAAACGCTTTTATCCATAAGATCAGCGACCAGACTGACTCACCACATCATTAAATAATGTTACAACCAAGAAAATATAGAGAAATTGTTACTTTTCGAGTAATAACGTCATTCTCATCGCAATACTGCAGTCGACGTAACACTCTTTTCCTACATACCAACTCGTCTAACTGCAATAAACTCTTCGCCTTTTTCAATTCTTCCTTAGCTGCTTTCAATTCTGATTCAAATGTTAGCTTGTTTTTGTATTTTAAATATAACGCCTCAAAGTCCGGTCGGTCTCTTAAAAGCAATTTTTATAAGTTAGAAAGTTTACTACTTGGCATAAAATTCATGAAAAAACAAACTTGAGCGGGTGTTCCTTCTTCCGGTTCTCTAGCATTTCCAACTTCCTTATGTTCTCTTCAAGATTACGATCCTTGATCTTCATATCATTAAGGGGGTCAAGTGGTGGCAGTACACCATCAAAACGTTTCAACACTTCCTTTAAAAAAACGTTAAAATCACGGTTCACATAAGGAAGGTCGGAAACAAAGCAAGAGACCCAAGCATGGTGAAGCAGTTCATAAAGCTTATTTTTTACGCCTAAAATTTAAAACAAAAAATACTACCTTCTTTATCCAACAAGCCTAAAAAAACCAACCCTGATACACCGTCCAACACTCTGTTTTTCTTCATAAGACTTCAAAGACCGAGGCAGTTTTATGCGTGCCGAACTTATTTCAGCAATACAATCAATTGTTATAGGAACAATCTGAAAAAATCAAAGTGACGGTAAAAAAGTTAAATCAGAACAGATAAAAATCGAATTTTCTATCTGAAGAAAACAGAAGCAGAAACAAAAATACCTCCACAACACCATTTTCTCCTGGCTTTGGCGGTCTTAACTGTGAAACATTCGTAACGTCTTTGACGCTTTCTGGAGAAAAACACATGGCAACATCCAAAATAAATAGCATCTCAGAACTAAGGGGTTCGAGCGGATTCGGTTTTTTATGATACTGTAGGAGTGCACCCCAGCCAAAGTCCTTCCCCCTGGTGACTATCTGTAAATCAAACAACACCTTACTGTCACCGTTGAATAAAAACAATTGGCATATATCAAAAACAAGACCACTGCAATCTCTTTTTAAAAACGAAAGCAGCATTTCGAATTAGATGTTTCGAAAGACAACACAGCTGGTGTGGAAATCAATGTGAGTTAATAATTACTTTTATAAGCCGTCCTGCTTGAAAGAAGGGAACAATATTTACTGGTTTTGTTACAACAGCCCGTATAGCGTCTCCAAACACTTCAATCTGGCGCTCCATCTGATAATACCCCTTTAACTCGAGCTCCCTTTCAACCTTGTACGAATTCAACTGCATGGTTTTATTGTTTACTTCTGCAAAAGACATAAGCTTTTTCAACAGAAGTGAAAAAAGACTATACAGAGAATTCCAAAAACCCTGAATAAATTGAAAACAATAAAAGCCAAAATCCTTTGAACTGCCTCAACGAAGCACAAGTAACGATATGAAAAACCTTTCAATATCAATTATTAATGAGACCAACTTTTATAGAGATCAGGAAGTGCGTCATAATTTTGAAACTGATAGAAAGACCGTTCAAGCATAAATTCTGGATTTACTCCTTCGACTCTGAGCAAGTTCAGAACCATGTTGTACGTTAAACGAAACTGTGAATTTATGGGATCAGGCGAGCCTAAAGATGTAAACTTTCGAATTCAAAAAATGTATAACATTCTCAACTAATTTTTTGAACACAAAAACTAAAACTAGCAATGTTCCAGATGCCCATATTAGGAACGTGCAACAGATAAAGTCCTCGAAGAAAAACGGCAAATACACAGTGCGTCAGCAAAAGACAATTGGATACGCTCTGGAACACTAAGACTTTTTCCTTACCTTTAATAATTCTCTTTGCTACGTCCTGCCCCATTTGCTGATCAACCATCAATATCACAAGCCCTTTCTCATCTTTGCCTCTTCTACCCGCTCTCCCACTCATTTGGATAAATTCTCCCGAAGTAATCCACCTAAAATTTTATTTAAGAATTCAAATGATTTACAACTATGATCCTCAAAAAGTGAAGAAGATAAAGCTAAAGTAAGAACAAACCTGTAATCCCTCCCATCAAATTTCCGTGCGGAAGTGAAAACGACTGTCCTTGCTGGCATGTTGAGACCCATAGAGAAGGTTTCGGTGGCGAAAAGCACCTCAAAAGTAAACAGATTAAACACATACCCCTCGCGGTCCTGCGATTCTTTGAAGTAAACTAAAACATTTAAAAACAAAA